CACTCAATTAAATAAAATTATTTCCAAAAATCAGCAAAATAATATTTTTATAATGTTAATATTATAAATGAAAATGAAAAAAAAAAATGAAGTAAAACTGTTTCCTATGAGGAAGGAATCCGTTTTCTCTTTCTGCTTCTTCCCCAAGTATTTGACAGATAGTGAAACATCTCTGTGTGTCTATATACCCCCACCCCCACCCCACCCCACCCCCCACCCCAGGCCACTCGGCGGAGAATTAGTCTGTTGAGAACTTTTGAATCGGACTGTTTCTTGAGAATTGGAAATTCTTGTATTTCTGTAAGATTACTTTTTCTTCACTTTTTGATTGAATTCTAGAGATGGGTCTTGACGTTTCGGCACTTTGATTTACTTTCTTGAAATAAATGATCATATCTTGAATTGGGGTTTTTTTTCAAAGACCACTGTTCATGTTGTGTTTTTGTATGTTCTTCTGTTGTCTGTTAGGAGAATTCTAAGGTCTGTATGGAATTTGCAATTTAACACTAGAGCAGTTCTGATTTTCTTGAAAATTTCTGTTTTTCTTGAAAATTCCGATTTTCTTGAAAAGTTCTGATTTTATTTTCTTGAAAAAGTTTTGATTTTCTGGAAGGAAATAGATTAAAAAGGGGGAAAGGAGATCCTGATTTTCTGGGAATGCTTGGGTTTGGTGCTATTTAGTCAGAAATTGTACTGGCACTCTTGAATCTCTCAGTTTTTGTTTGATTATAACGATTTTTTTTTTTAAAAATAACTAAGGTGGTGGCTGGGCCTACCGTCTGGGTACTGGTATCTTCTTGGTGATAACAAAGGTGAAAGGTGCTGGTAGTACTAGATAGCTCTGCCAGATATTTGCGTCCTTCCACTAGTGTTGGAACAAATTCTGCCCACCATGAATTAGGTAGATAGGAAAATTGTACATGGCTTTTTATTTATTGTGGAAATCTTACCTCTAATGGTTTCATTCCAACTTCATTTGTACCTTGAGTACTACATTTTTTTATTTTGATGACTTGAATCTTGATTCTAGAGAAAAGCTATTTTTTTTTCTTCTCTGTTCCTTTTCACTCATTTTAGATATTCTTGTTTAATTGGAAGTTCACTATGATTGAAGCTATAGCAAACCCATTTAAAAATTATTTCCCACGATGCACAGCTAATTCTTGCTAAACATTTTATTTCCTTCGATGACTGATTTAGCTTAGTTTGATCTTGTTGATCATCCTTTTGTTTTCTGTGTGTTTGTTTGGTTAGTATTATAATTCATATCATTTGGAGTAGACTTTTGTTACTCATCTAGGATCTCTGTGAAAAATGGTGTTGATAATGTGTGCTTGTGAGAAGATAGAGAGAGAGAGAGGAGGATATGGACCACTTAATTTTCTATTTATTTTTTTCAAAGAATCTGTTCATTTTATTCATATGTATATTCTTTAATTATTACGAGTACTGTTTATAGTTTCATGCTAAGGAGTATGCAACAAACTGCTCCAAATTCCCGTTCTTACATAAGTTCTAGATAGATTTTAATTTGGATAAGGGATTGCAGAAAAACGGCTATAATAGCAGAGTTAACTGCAGAATAGGAACAAGAAAGTACAACAAAAATTTACCCGTTGAAAGCTAAGATGATATATATGGTGAAGGGTAACTTTTTAGATTTTAATGACACATTGCATGGTTGAAAGTTTAGCATTTTGGATTAATAAAGGAGTTGCACCTAGCCTAATTCAACCTCAGAAACTAATACATGAGATGAGGATGTCAAGACTATATGAGGTGAGGATGCCAAGGCTATATGAGGTGAGGATGTCAAGACTATATGAGGTGAGGATGCCAAGGCTATATGAGGTGAGGGTGTCAAGACTATATGAGGAGAAGTGTGTGAACATTTCATCTAAAAGTTTAAGCTAGAGAGAGTACACTGTTATTTATTTAATTGTGCATTCAACATGCCCCTCATGTATGGATTTGACTTTTTTCATGAGCCGAGTATGTGGAGTTTTCTTTTGGATAATGATTAGTGGCAAGACTAGAATCTATGACCTCTTTTTGCTCTAATTTTGTGATAAGAAAATTAACGTTGGGCCTGATTTAACGCTCATGAAGTGAGGATTGTCCATGATCATATAAGGAAACCAATTTCTAATCCCTCAACAGATGAACTTGAACTAGCACTACTTTCAGTTTCAAAAAACTAGCATTACTTGGTGCTTGAAACTGCCTTTACTTATTGATAACGTGTTACAGTGAATGCCATCTGAAAATCTGAAGCAATTGTTGGTACTTTCAGTTTTGGGAATGTATAAAGCAAATATTTTCTTTTTACTTTATTATATTTTTGAAACAATAAAGGATGTCTTTATAATTTATTTTCGGAAATAATAAAGGGTCAACCCTGCAAAAAGGGATGACTTGTAAAAGAAAGTAAATCTTATGTATTTTGTCTTGGAGTTTCTTATTAGCAATTCCCCTTTTCCATGGCAGGTTGTTTGCACATATTTTCTCTCGATGTGCTGAGAATGGTTTGAATTGTAAGATATTGCAAAATGCGACGTGAATTAGAGAACGAGCAAAATATAGACATGATTGTAGAGGCTTCGGCAAAGAAGCAGAATGGAAGTGATTCTAAAGAACTTGAAGCTAGTCATGTAAATTGTGCTAGCAACTATGAAAACCATACCTCCTTGGCTGAACAAGTAAAGGAGGAACCCCATGGCATTGAGGACGATGATATTGATATAATAGAATGTACAGATCCTGCTGATAATGTGCTGGTGCAATCAGATAAAGAGGAGTTGACAGAAAGTTCAAGTTCTTTTGGGAGTATTTTTTCTGAATCAGAGTATTGCACAACTATGAATGATATCGAGTGTACATCAGAATACAGCGGTGATGCTACATCAGAACTGGCATTTAGTGGATTTGGTGACATATTTAGGATGACGTATGTATTCCTTATCCTAGATCTTTATTTATTGGATAGCCCTTTTTTTCTGTTTCTGATGCTTTGACTTATATGCTTCATATTTGTGATGAATAAAGGTAAATTTTATGTATAAAGGTTCAGTTCCAAGCTGGTACTGAGACAAAGTACAAAAAGATTTGCTGGATATGAATACTTCAGAGCTGTAAAGATTTCAAGAACTCCAGCATTATGCCGCTATCAGCAGAAAAATCTGCATTGCACCAATTCTTTTTTAAAATTTTGGATACATGTATGCTTTGCAATAGAACATTCTCCTCGTTCTCCTAAAGCATCTTATGTTCGTTCCTCTCTAGCCAGATTCTACATATAATGCAGAGAGTAATGACCTTACAGATCTTCTTCTTACTTGTTCCTTACCTCTGCCAACAGCTCAGAAGTTGTTTAACATTTGCTGGTATGTCCCAATAGACCCCATAAAGATTGAGAAACATGCACCAAATTTGCCACGCAAAATTGCAATGTAGTAGCAAGTGATTCACAGTTTCTCCCTCTGAATTGTGATGCTTCATATGCGTATAATCGTTATAGTTTCTCGCTTATTCATCAGAAAATGAAACTGATTGCAGAACTCGAGCTGTCTTTCTGGACATTTCTTCTTTCGAACTAGGTTACCTTGTATTATATGTCAAAACAATACACTGGTTAATTGAAATCTTATATACAAGTTTACTAATCTCACTTCTCTATAACTAAATAGAGTCTAGAACTTCAATGATAGAGATACTTTGTGAGGTATTCTACAATTCCATATTTGCTTCCAAGGCCATCTTGTACCCTGCTGATTTGCTTGATCTATCAACTTATTAGCTTTGCTGACTTTGAACACTCCTCGGTCATGTCGTGTCCATCATAGTTCATCCTCCCATCTACAGTCAAGTGAAGGTGTCCACGGTGTTGAAAAAATCAGCAAGTCTCATGACCTCCCAGTCATTCAACTGCCTTCTGAAAGTGAATTTGCAGGGATTGATTTAATCTATTGAAGTCAATTTTCATGTTACATTGAAGGATTGGTTTGCTATGAAGAAATATCTATGCGTGGTTTAGTTGTTCAACTAAGGTGTTTTCCTTTATTGGACAATCGTGCTCGGGCTAGCTTGTGCCTGCCTCAACTAATTCTCTTGGTATTTTACCATTCAGTATAGGTAGAAATATCTATGCATGGTTTAGGTTCAACTAAGGTGTTTTCTTTTTGGATAATGGTGGTGGTCGGGCAAGCTTGTGCGCGCCTTGACTAATTCACTTGGTATTTTACCATTCAGTATAGGTATTGGCTAACTCAGCCACCAAGGTTTCCGCATATAGGAAGAATTCATTCTGTGTCGCTGCTTCTGGGTTTGAACCAGGTTCCTAAGGTCGTTATTCTGATCTTCAACCGTCAGGCTATACCCCCCTAGGGTAGTTGTTCAGCCTAGTCTGACCATGAACTTGCTGTTAAGTAACTTGAATTTCTTGTTCACAGACATAACAGGCTAATGATATCATCCTTGACTTATGTGACTTAGTGTCAGGTTCAACATGGGCTTAGGGGGATAGTGTAGTCCCTTGTGGTGTTTTGTGCCTTTTCTAGAGTAAAAAATATATATGAAAAATCTTAACATGTTTCTTTTTTTCTTTCCTTTAGGAGGAAAAAGGTGACACCTCATTGGAGAGACTTTATTCAACCTATTAGGCAGCGATGCAAGTTGATTGAATTGAAACTTCATCTGCTTCAGTCTCAAAGTCGGAAGTATGAGAAACAAATGCGGGATGAGAACCACCAGATGAAGCTTCAAATTGGAAGTGTTCCATTGGAAGATTTTGGTTCAAAGTCACTTTCATTCTCTTGTAATAGTTTAAGAGATAATGTTGTGAAGAGAAAGAAGAGAAGAAGAACTGAAGATACATTGGATATAGCAGCTTATATGTCTCATCATCCCTTGTTCTCTTTCTTTGGTAATATTTCCCCTCATTGTCCTTTAACCTAGTTTCACATTTTCATTTCCAAATCATGAATTTGTATTTATGACATGCAGAAAAAAGAAATTCAAGTGCTGATGGTTCTTTTCTGGATAACGAGTTGGACAAAATAGGTTCGAATGCATCCTTTTCTTAATTTTCAGTTGCAGTTGTTGTGGCTCTTTGTTGCTTCTTGGTGGAAAAATAATTTGGTAACATCAAAATGTTAGCAATACATATGTTGTTCCTATTCAAGTCTTCTATTAATGGCTATTTGCACACACAACATAGGCTATGTTTGGAAGCTATATGGAATTACGACTTCTTGTGCAACACAGCTGCTGTTTGGTTAAGAATTTACAATTATTTCTCGAGTACAAGTTTCTTTAATGTTGCAGGGAGATGTTAAAGATTGAAGTTTTCCAGTTCAGTTAGAACTTTTCCTTTTCTGTGTACCTGAGATTTGTTAGTGAAGTTGATCCCTAATTGCCTATTGCTGGTGACTTCTCATTCTGTCAATATGCCACAAGTCCTATTCTACTTTCATTGATCAGTTAGAATTAGTTAGTACTTTCATTGAAAGGTACAAGATTGCTTGGTGTGAACGGTTAGGTGGTGGCTCGAGACTGCACTGTCAGTTAGGTTTCATCAGACTGGTTGGTTAAGACTGGTGGTGATAGTTGGAAATAGTGCTACTTGTGATGGTGAAGATGGTTTGTAGTAGAAATTGACCTAAATGGTGGTAGTGGCTGATTGTGACGGTGAGGTGGTAGTGGATGTAATTATAACAATGAAGGTGATAGGCCAGGTGATAGCGACTGTTTGTAATTGGTGGGAACAATGATAATTTAAACACTAAATGATTAAGACCTAAGTTTTTGGACTCTCCAAAAATGTTGCTGCACCCGTGTCGGTTTCCCAAAAAAGCACTACTTTTGAAGGAAGATTGTAGTTATTTCTTCAACATTTGATCACATTGAATTGAGAATTATAAAGTATTAACTTTAAAAAATACAATAACAACATAACTAATATCTTTCCACAAAATAAAATTTAAATAGTATGATCATTGAATATTATATTTAAGCACATAGATATACAAAAAAGGGGGGAAATTTCTTTACCCAGCACACCCTTTGTAAATGTAATCCTATACAAAATCGCCTGTTGCGTGTGCTTAGTTCTTCTGCTAGCTTTCTTCTAATTGTTGGAAGAATTAAATCATTTCACTTCTTAATTCTGTAGCCATCTGCTCTGACAAGATCAATGCTGATGATGACTTGCACCAACATCCTGCTGATGGTGATGCTTCCCTGGAAAAAATACTCCACAAAATTGGGGTTCTTCAGTCACAAGTTATCCAGCTTAAAACTAGACTTGACAAGGTAACAAGTGAGAATGGGATGTTCTCCAGCACAGGTGACTTGAATTCGCTTCTACCATGTAATGTTTTGGGAAGCTCTGCCCTTCTTCAAGACAATCGGGGCAAAATGCCAGCGGGATCACATGATGTTGTATCACAGCTGATATCTGAGTATAATATGGTTATGCCTCCTGACAGTGCAGCTGCAAGACATGGACAGGCAGTGAACGTCCCTGATGTGATTGAAAGCACAGATTGTTCCTTACCTGTGGGTACAAACACCAATGTGAGTACTTCAATATAACTCACTATGTAGGCACCTATGACTTATCATTTATCATTAACCCTTCAAAAAAGAATATCGTGATTTTCAAAATAGGTAGGTAAATGGAGGATGTGTGCTTTTATTTGTTTTCATTAAGCTTGCATTTTACTCTCTGTGTCATTGTTATTTCTGGTTAAATCTTTTGTTCGCTCATAAAGTGAGGAAGTAAGAGGTGATTTAGATCATGAATATTCTTCCTATGGATAGTATGATGATCATTTCTATTCAACTGCTGATGATTCAACCATGTGTAGTCTGAAGATGGCGTTCTAATCTACAATGAAAAAATGAAGGAAGAGATGAGTAACTTTGAGGAATTCAAGATCCATTCTGCAGAAAATCATCGGGTTTTAAAAAACGTTACCATCCCAGCTAGTGTTCCAGATCCTGATCCAGTCGATGATCAACCAGCTCCGAAAATACGCTCTATTTCCCAGCTTTCTGCTCCTAAGAACAAGAAGAAGAAGGCTCGACGGAGAGATGCTCGGAATTACTGATCTTCATCTCAACTCTCCTTCTCTTTTGGAACTCAAAACTGTCATAAATTCTATTTCCTCAATTTCAATCATGTCAATATGTTACGTTTATTTTATTGAGTATATATTCTAGTCGACAAATACCATGATTGAGTGCACTTCACTTTCATACAGTAACATCTTCATTTGCTTATTTCTTCGGATTATTTGCCGTTAGAATCAAAATCGAATCGAAATTGATGATTAAAAAATGTTATTGATTTATTAGTAATGGTTTTAATTTTTTTAATTATCGGATTATTAATTTTTGACAGTTTAAGATATTTTAAATGAATTGATCGATAACTCGATAGTAAATTAAAAGATTATATTTATCATAGATTGTCTTAAATTTTTTGTTATCGCAGCCTTTATAATCAGAAAAGTATCATTAAAAAATTCCGTTACCGGGAATCAAACCCGGGTCTCCTGGGTGAAAGCCAGATATCCTAACCGCTGGACGATAACGGATGCTCGTTATTAATTTTTCTCTTAAACATCATAATCAAATACAGATATTTAATTATGGCAAAATATATGTCCATTTCAAACTAATATAATGTATTCGTATAAAAGTGAAAGGAAGCGAGCGAGAGTTTGAGATAGAAACGACTGACAAACAGTTTGCAACATGACATAGTGAAATCAAAATTTGGTTATAACATTTAATTTTGATTTATTAGTTTGTCATTATACGTAATTTTCCAAAAAAAAAAAACTGATTCATTATAATAAAACGATTAAAAAAATTTCCGTTACCGGGAATCGAACCCGGGTCTCCTGGGTGAAAGCCAGATATCCTAACCGCTGGACGATAACGGATACTTGTATTCATTTCTTCTCTCAAATATAAAATAATGAAATATGAATACTTTATGGTAAAATATATCTCCATTTTAAACTGATATAATGTATTCTATATAAATTTAGGAAAGTTGGACCGTACAAGTTTTATTTTGTTATGGTGGTCCGATCTTATACTTAGGCGAAGATTTAGTACATCAGGTTATCCTTTTATTTTTAGCTCCAAAAGATTGTAGGTGAATATTCAATGGAATTTCGATCTTATTTTATTCAAAAATTCATTTTTATCAAAACGTTATATTTTTATTTCAATAACATATATTAGGCAAGCACTTTGTATTTATTCAATATTTATTAACATTTGAAATAAACTTTCATTCTCATTAATTTTATTTTGGCATGAGGAGGATCCGATCCCTATAGGAAGATGTCAATTTATTTTCCTCTTAAATATAAACAGTAGTTTTGCTGGTTCATGAATACATCTTTTCTTTGTTTGTGCAAACAGCTGCTTGATGGCTTGTTGGTTAGAATTCAACTTATATATGAGGTTTCATTTTGAGATAGTGTAACATATATTGGATCGTGTTAGCACAGGCTTCTGTATAGATATCAACTTTGTTCATTAGTTGTATATATGACATTGATTTTATATCAGTTAAACGAAAATTATCAACCTTGAGGATATATAAGTTGTAAAAATTATTATTTTTTGAGAGAATAAATTACATTAAATTGAAATATGAAGATGTAATTATACTGAGTTTTTCGCTCATTTATATAGTTTTTCCTTAAAAGTTATAAACAGAGGTGGCTCGACAGTGTTAAAAAAAAGGCATGTGTTTTAGAACCCCAAATTTAAGGGTTCTCACTTTTTATAATTATAGGTTATAAGTTATTATCTTTTAAAGAAATATTGAATACTATTTGTAGAAAAAATAAACAATTCATGAAAAATAAAGGGATTATTAGAAGAAATTTGACATATTTAGAGTATTATATCTCATGAGAAATAATTTAATATAAGAATGGTTATATTATCAGATGAAAAATAGAAGAAATCTATATAAGTGTTATTAACAATTTAAGTTTAAGGCCCCATTCGTCATGAAGAAGCGTAATGCAAAAGAACGTCTTCTTTCGGAAGCCTCGGACATTAAATTTTTGCTTTAGGTCACTAATACGCTTGAGCCGCCCCTGGTTATAAGTAAAGTGCATTTACTTTAGCTATGATGAAAAATCACACAAACATTGCGAGGACATCTTTGATGGTTCTATTTGCTAATTTATCCAAAAAGAATAAAAAATTAAATATGTATTTATTGAACAAATAAAAGATAAAAAAAGAGAGTTCCGTTACCGGGAATCGAACCCGGGTCTCCTGGGTGAAAGCCAGATATCCTAACCGCTGGACGATAACGGATGCTCGTTATTAATTTTTCTCTAATGATAAATACTTTATGGAAAAATATATGTCCATTTCAAACTAATATAATGTATTCTAATGGTTAATTATATAATATCCTTTCCCAATTTTATACATAGCAAAAACTTAGTACATCAAGTTACCTTTTCTATAGCTCTATGTGAATATTCTATGGATTTTGATCTCACGTTGTTTCAATAGTATACATTGACAAACACTCTATATATTTAATCAAAATTTATTAACATTTGAGATGACTTTCATTCTTATCAGTTATATATTTAATCAAAATTTATTAACACTTGAGATGACTTTCATTCTTATCAGTTTTATTTTGGCATGAGGAGGATCCATTTAGGGAGATATCAATTTTTTTTTAGAAAATGTAAGCAGGAGTTTTGTTTGTGCAAACAACTCCTTAATGGCTTGTTGTATAGATATCATTATCATTGATTAATGAGTAATTTCTTAACAAGAAATCTGAATATATTAATACAATGCATACATATATATATTGATTTAGTATCAATAAAGCAAATTAGTCTTAACGATACTAACACAATATATGATACCGATTTAGTATCAGTTAAGCGAAAATTATCAATCTTACTGAAAGGACTGTGGGCTATAACTTTTTTTTTTATAGAATGATATTTCTTAAATTACTTTGAATTGGAATATGAACATGTAATTATTTTAAATTTTATCACTTATTTATATTGTTTTTTTCCTAAAATTATTATATAAAGCAAATTTACTTTGCTATGATAAAGAATCACAAAATATTGCATGGACATCTTTGATGTTTCTATTTGCTAATTTAACCAAAAATAAAAAAGAGAATTTTTATCTATTTATTTATTGGAAAAAAAAAAGAGTAACTTTCACATATAGCAAACACAAATTTTATATTTGTATGTTATAGCAAAGTTGACATAATTGCGCTCCATAACAAACATAAATATGTATAATTCGCTATACATATACAAAAAAAATAATTGTATAATTCGCTATACATATACAAAGAAATCAATTGTATATTTCGCAATGCATATACAAAAAAGAAAAAAACAGTTGTATACAAATCAATTGTATAATTTGTGAATTTATAAAACGAGAAGGGAGCAGGACATAAGAAAATTGGGCAGGAATATATTTGTATTATATAATTAAGTGTATATGACGAAGATATATGTATTTGCATGTGTATATACAATTTCTCTTGCTTTATACAAACAGAAACACAATTTATACATTTTGTTTCTGTTTGTATTAGCGATAGAAGTAAGGGTGGCGAGCGAGATGTGGGAGAGTGAAACGAAAATATGTATATAAAAAATTTTCTCGTTTTATACTAATACAAACGCATTTCATACATTTGTATTTGTATAAAAGCGAAAGGAAGCGAGCGAGAGAGGGAGCGAGCAAGAGTTTGAGAGAGAGAGACGACTGACAAACAGTTTGCTACATGTCACAGTGAAATCAAAGTTTGGTTATAACATTTAATTTTGATTTATTAGTTTGCCATTATATGTAATTTTCCAAAAAAAACAAAAAACTGATACGTTATAAAACGATTAAAAAAATTCCGTTACCGGGAATCGAACCCGGGTCTCCTGGGTGAAAGCCAGATATCCTAACCGCTGGACGATAACGGATGCTTGTATTCATTTTATCTCTTAAATTATTGATGAACAATTAATCGCAAAAAGACATATACAAGTAATTTAACAAAAAATTAAAGACAATAACTTTAGAATGAAGGCAGTGTAAATGCTTTGAAAAATTGAATGTGAATTCAAGAATAAAATGGATCACTCATATTCATGTTAGTCAAAATTCACTCTACAAAAATCTTCCAACTTTTATCATACACATTATAATTTACATTTTATGAAGATTTATCATGAATATAAATATAAACTAGATCGAGATGATCTTTTTTTCTTAATTATCCATATATATTTTGGCATAAGAAGTATTATATATATTATATAAATTGACAGATGAAAATATGTGACACAGCAATCATGTGAAAGTAGAATTAATTAATTTAAATGTGAAAGTAATACCCAAAATAGTATATCATGTGATAATATATAAAACCATTATTTTCATCCCTCTTTTTGTCCCCAATTATCATTTAAAAAGTCTTCTCTCGCTAACAATATATAATCAAAAGTTCTATTAGAAAAGTTAAAATATACAAATTAATTAATTCAGTATGTATATATAATTATGTTAATTTTTTGACAAAAAATATTCGAAACGAGAGATTGAAATGTGAAAAAGGGTTTGAATTGATGTGAGTTGACAATGGTGATTACCTAGTAAATGGGAGACAGTGGCAGCTAGCCCCATTTTGCACTCACCTTTTTATTGTTGCAAAAGTCAAAAAACCAAATCATACACTCACAGCTATCATAAATCATCATCATCATGCAGGTCCATCGACTATCAATCAAAAACGAATACGGTTTATATAAGTCAAACATAAAAATAAGTTATAAATATTTATATAGTTTAAAAATTATTTCATTAAATATAAAATGAATATTTTAAAAATTAAATTATTACCAAATATAGATATGTTAAACGAAAGAATATGGTCGTACGTTATAAATTTATAACTATGCATGCTTCACTTTACAAAAAGAAGATTAAGGGTAATATTTTGTACATAAAGTACAAGAGTAGTGAAGCAAAATTAGAAGTTTTAACGTGGGAATGAGGTAAAGAAGAAGGAAAAAAGCAACATTGTTTTTACTTGTGAACTTTCCCTTTTACCTT